CCAGGCCAACAATGTCGGCCTCCTCTGCCACTAGTGCCTCCCACTCCTCTGGCACCTTTTCATTGCGGACTCCATCTCCGCCTCGTCGCCCCCTGTTCAAATCCCATGTCCCGGTGACCTTGAGTGAACCACCCAAACTTTAACCAAAGGTCGCCGTTCTTCACCTCCCTCTCAAAAATTCGGCCTCCTCCCGCACATCGACAGACGCGGCTGACCTGCTTGGGCCATTGCGGACTCCTGTGTTGTAGTCCTCGTGTTCTCGACACAAGCTTCTTTGTTTGCGCTGACCCGGCACCGACATCATGCCTTGGCTTTGGGTCGCCATCAAGCGTCTTTGAGGCCAACAAGGCCCCACGTGCCATCTTCCCGAGTCACAAGTTCCACTCCATGACCTGTATGATTCTCCATCGATGAGTCTTGCCCAAGCAGATGAAGGCCACCGCCGATGCGCTCATTTGAGCTCGCCCTCAACCTCCTGTGCGGCCTCAATCATCGCAGATTGGACAACATCGCCGACTTCGCACCCATCTTCGTCCTCAAGGAACTTCGCCGCCAACAAGGGCAGAACGCCACGTTGTGGCTTGCCGCCTTCCGCCATTCGGGCCCACGGCAAGCTTGGCCCGAATGGCGGCGGCGGCAATGATCTGAGGAAGAAGGGACGGAAGCGGCCATGGCGGCGGTGGTCCCCATGATTTGGGGCAGCGCGGCACCCACACACCGCCACGCCTTGTTTGCAGCAGCGCTCCAAGGCGCCAATGAACCCGGCCGGCGCGCGGCTCTGTGTTCATCCTCGAGCCCATCGCCGCCGCCCCCCGGCCTCCGATCGTATGCGGCCCTCTCTTCGCAGTGAGCCCGGGGGTCGGATCAGCCGGCCTCGTCGCCCCTGAACCGAATGTCCCTCCGGGTCCAACCTCAGGTCCTCGTTCGCCACAACTCACATGACGCCTCTCGGATGGTATACTTATGTCCCGTCTCCCCCTGCTCATTTGGTTGGCAATTGGCACCTCCACATTGTCTTCTCCCACATTTTTTCGCCTCACTAACGCTCGCCGGCCGTGGTGCAATCTTCTTTTCCGTTCAAATTCACACGTGATGCTTGTTCTATTGAATTTGATTTGGTTTTTCATCAGGGACCAGGCGTATGACTCTTGTTCAATGCAATAGTGGTGGCGACCTCTACACCTTCCCTTGCCATATATCATCGCTATGGCACCACCGCCTTGGTCACCCCGGTCCTTCCAAATGCTGTTCATCTCCGTAATAAGAGCCCATCATCTCTATGCCATGCTCATCAACTTGGCAAGCACGTCACGGCTCCCATTTAGTCATTCTACCTCTGTGACCACTACTCCTTTTGATTTAGTTCATGAATGTTTGGACGAGCACCTCGAAATATTATCTTGTTCTCTTCGGATGATTTTTCCCATTATTGCTTGGTCGTTTAAGTCCGTCAAATCCGAGGTGCACCGCCACATAGTCGATTTCATTGCCTACGCTCAAACACGCTTTGTCATTCCAAGCCGATAATGGGACCGAGTTCGTTAACCATGCTACCACCTCCTTCCTCGCTAGCCATGGCATTACGCTTGATACCTCTCCACGTAATGGCAAGGTCAATGCATGTTTCACCACAAATGACAATCCGCACCATGCTCCTTCATATGCCACCTCCCCTTTAGGCGACCCTCCTCCTCCATACAAAACAATATACCCTATCCGCTTCTTCACAAAACACTCCCAGTTTTCGGATGCCTCTGCTATCCAAACCTCACCGCCACCTCCCCACAAACTAGCCCCTACCCTGTGTCTTCCTTGGCTACCCATCCTCTCACAAGGGGTATCATCCACTCGGCGCATCATCATCTCTCGCCATGTTATTTTTGATGAATTGGTGTTCCCCTTCTCGGCAATGGCGGCCTCCATGCCGTCTTCACTTGATTTCTGATGGGGGACTATCTTCCTCGGCGGCACTGCGCACTTTACTTTCCCCGGTTGTCATCGATCTCTGCAGGCGGCCCGTTGCCGGTGCTTTGTACCTACACTGCATTGTTCCGTCATTGTCACGGCTAATCCATTTGGTGCCCCCTGCATTTAGAACCAAAGAACATTGCTGCTTGTTCGAGACTCCTCGAGCTGTCCGTTACTTGTGAGCTTGTCCAGTATTTCTCCCGCCTGCCATGTTCTATCGCAGCCAGATACAAATCCCAATTGGCGCTAGCGCGATGGCGGAAGAACACAAAGCATCGACAATGAATTATCGTCCCTGCCCGCCTAGTTTGGCCGTTCAAGCACAAGTTTCACGCCGACGGCTCTCTCGCCCGGCACAACAAGGCGCGCTTGGTCGTCTGTGGCTTCTCCCAAGGTCATTTAGTTCGGTGGTCAAGCGGCCACGATCCGCAATCCTTCCTTCACGGCCACCTCGAGGCGGTCTCTTCAAAATACACCCATCGATGCTGCCTCGCTGCTGCAGAAGTCCTTGTATCAGCGGTAGCCCGCGCTTGGAACCAGCCTTCACCACGTTCATCCGCAGCGATCGGCTTCACCTCCAAGTCGGATGCCTCCTAACAAAGTTGGCGAACACTGAACTACCTCCTTCTCTCGCCGATACAATTGTCACCAAGCTGTGCTGCCCTTCTCCGGCACATCACCGCGCGGCCGCTCGGAGTTCGCCATGACGGACCTCGGCGACCTGCACCCTTCGACTCGGGACATTCCTTTCCCGGTATAAATTGCTACTACCCCATGGATGCGGACCATAAAATAACCCCTAGTATAGACGCCTTTGCTTTGAGCGCATTTCGGACTGTGAATCCAAAATGAAATTTGCGCGATCAAGCGCATCTAGCCGATCGTCCGGCTGCATAACACCACTCTCATCGCTTACTCCGACGCCGATCGGGCGGTTTGCCCCGACACGCGCGCTCCACCTCCGGCTTCGTGGTTCACCTCGGCGACAACCCGTGTCTTGGTCCAACATTTCTAGTCTTGCGAAGTACCGTGCAATCCATGTTGTGGCCGAAGCTAAAACTCCACATCTCGATCCAGTGCGATTGTTCAACAACGTGGCGCCGGTCATAATCGCTATCCACCATCGCCGCACGAAGCACATCGAGATCGACATCCACTTGTCCATGAAGGTTGCTCTAGGACAGTTCCACTTCATGTTCCCTCCGCGTACCAATTCGCAGACATTATGACCAAGGGTCTACCCGTTCAGCTCTTCACTGATTTCCGGACCTGTCTGTGCGTCCATGATTCTCCCGCTGCGACTGCGAGCGGGTATTAGGATATCTATATATCAGGATCATTAGAGAGATCCCCTAAATAGGCTAGTTGCTATGTATAGCCTAGTTTCCTTACATTAGGATGGCTTCCTTGTACAGGTGATAGCCTCCTATATTTGTACTTGTCATGTGTGTCTGATTGGCCCTATATGTGAAAGGCTCCCCACCCACATTGAGCGTGTGGTGATTCTCTCTATTCTACAGTTAGAGTGAATGAACACTGAACTGAAGCCTTCTCCAAAAATACAAATGCTGTGCTGGAGCAGAGGAATTGAGTAAAGGCCCTGGCAACCCATCCCATCCTTCCTTCAAAATAAATAAATAAATAAAATAAAAATGAACGAATTAGCTGATAAATAGACTCAACGTATACTCCATTATCCAACATTTTGTGAATCCAAGCATGAAATTCATTATTAATAACACCTATCCATTGTTGCCTTGTTCGTTGGACTCGGACCGGAAGATTGGCGCTCGTGAGCTAACACTTTAGACGAAACCGGTCACGTACCGATATAGAGCTTGTTTGGATACCACAGCTAATTACTAGATAGCTAAAAATTAGCCTCCAACTAGTCACTAGCCAAGCAACCCCCTAAATCACATGCATATTGAATTGGGTACTGATTATGCTCATCGTTTGCAACCATTGCGGTCTACGGACCTTGCATAGGTATGATGGGGATAGATAAACAACAATGCCAAGCACTCGCCTACGTAATAGAGCTCTTCAAATCTTAATTTTGCAGTTCACATTAAGCATCAGTACAACTAAGATCACAGATTTATTCTAGAAGAACCTCCAAGCGGATGGATCAGATTCCATCAAACTGCCATAGAAATTCAACTTACATCCAGCAGGAAACTGCACTGGCACTTGCTCAAGCACATGCAGCACACGTGTCTATCCAAAACATTTAGGTACAATGCCTAGGAGAACAATTCTCAGGCTCTGTTAGCTGCAACACATCTATCCCACTCTATCTAGTGGTGGTATGAACTTGAAGGCTTAAACTTGTGTACCAACTTAAGAACTTCCCGACCCTACAAATGACAAATTCAGTACAGTACAAAAACATACAAATTCAGTACTGTACAAAAACATACAATGCTTCTATACAGGGAGTAAAAAAGGAGAAATTCACACACTCTTTAGTCTTTATACAGCTCAATAATGATGATGTCCAATTTTACACGAGGTCCTACTTCTGTGTAAACAAATACAGACATCACAGATTTTGCAACCAGCAATTGTTGTTTATTGGCATTCACCCCAAAATTGGTCAGCTAAAGCTGCTTCAAAATAGCTCGTGTTTGCTGAATCGACTACACTTCCAAGTAAAAGAGGAAAATTTTCTGCAACCACACACAGCATTAATTCCATATGTCATACTTTCACACATGAGTCAATAGCATTCTCATAATTTGATTGCAAACTCCAAGTTCCCAAGCTCAAAGTGAGAGTACAATTCTGATTCAGTTTCCATCTTGCAGATGAGCCCAAGACAGCTTCAAACTAAGTAGCAAGCTACATATTTTAGAGATAAATAGTACTACTAATTATTCCCAATACCAGGGAACTAGAATGCATTTAGGCTTCAGAACAAGGCCAGCACAGCAGCAAAATCATGTAGAGATATCGCACCAAAAACCATGCTTCTGTTCTAGTAATTTGCTTCTTGATTTAGAAGGCCTTGTACTTGTAATTTGAGCTTCTTATGCACTTGACATGCTAGACCCTGGCCCCTCATCTTTAGAGACCACAACATCTCCTGGCCCCTCATCTGTAGAGACAGCAACATCTCCTAGCCCCTCATCTCTAGAGACCACAACACCAGCTCCTGGTTCATCATCTGTAGACACAACAACACTAGCTGCTGGTCCCTCATCTGTGGAGACTGTTCCCGGTGCTGCATAAGAAACACAAATACAAAATATGAGGAATCAATGGTAGCAATGAACATTGGATCTACACAAATCACACAAGAGACATCAAGGGTCCTCCGATGGACAACAAAACAGCACTGATTTATTATCCAGTTAATGGTCACGTATCCACAACATCATTAAGATGAACTCAAACTAGTTCAGATCAAGGAAAGTATCCTATTTGTATTTCTACAATGTTATCAAGAGACATTAGCATACAGGAGATGATTGAGGAACATATATATCATTAAAGAGTAGCATGAGGCTAATATTTGGACTGCAGATAATATATACGTAGCAGTAGTACTCTAGTTTTTACATGAGGTTGAGATGTCACACTGACATAATGTTCTTTTCGCCGCAAAAAAAAAAAAACACACCATGTTGCTGGGTCCATAGCAATCCAGAATATTTTCATGTTGAACTAATACTTGTGCAAATGGGCAAACTAAAAAACAATGAAATATATACCTGGGGTGCAGAAGCTCACATAGGGAACAATGCGACCCGAGCCTAAGACATTCCCTACCTTCTTGCTCCTCCCTGAGTTCAGATCAATAGTGAAATACCCAACACATGTCCTTAAGAAAATGACACCAGCTCCTGTCTCTGAAAAGCCAACCACCGAAGGTTTGTCAATGTTGGTTTGAGGTGGGAGTAGCCGATCACACAGGGCATCATCTGGGAGTAGAGCACGAAGCTAAATGAGTCTGCTTTCTACCCATCTTCCTTGCTCCCTTTGCCACACACAAAGTGTTGAGTTGATGATTATCTTGGCAAGTCCTAGCGTGCTGCCATCCTCTGTGGCAATTATCTGACTGGGCGCGGGCACTCCTTGGCTGATCCAACATATTTGATGTGTCTGCAGGTCGAGCTTAAAGATGTTATCGATGCCTCCGATCTTGTAGTAGAAGGCATATATTCCCAACGAGGACACTCTTGTACATACCATAGGCAACATATCCTCCTTTCTCCGAAACAAAGATTGGGTCACTCCAGCTATCAGCCTCCGATGAGTAGAAACAAGAGAAACCTCCGCCCTCCAGATCTTCCCACAAAGACGACCTTGAAGTGGCAGTCCAGATGGCTGCAGCCGTTGCCCACGGCGCAGGCCAAGGCGGCGTCCCAGTTAGCTATCCGCGCGCCTGGCTGCAGGACGGGCAGTTCCCACTGCTTGTCCTTTCTGGGATCCCACACCAAGAGGCCGAGACCGTCACCCTCCCGCTCCCGGGCAGAAAGCAAGAGGACGCGGCCATGCCTTGAGTGGATGGCTCGCACATCGCGGCGGTCAACCTGGGGCCGCAGAAACGACGACGTAGGGACGAAGCGGATGGAATTGTTGTCTTGGTTGAGCATGTAGCCCAGCTGCGGTGCCGAGTGGGGGAACTCGATGTACCTACGGCGGAAGATGGCGCCGGTGACAACGCGGTGCCATTGCCTGCTGACGAGGGCGGCGCGGTCCTCCGGTGGGAGGCGGACGAGGCACTCTTCGACGAGCTCGTCCATCAGAGCTGCCGGATCCGGAGACGACGGCGCCGCCATGGTGGTCGGCGGCTAGGGTTTGGCCTTGGTTGGCGTTGGCCGTTGCGACTTGCGATTGCAGGAGTGGAGCGGCGGCCAGTGAAGTGCGGTCTGATGGTGATGGGGCTCCCGGTGCGGCTCCAAGCCTCCAACGCATTGCAATTTGGGCCCTGGGTGAGGTGGGCTCAAATGCCGCAAAATAAGCTCAGATTCTCAGTTTCTCTTCTGGCTTTTAACGTGGCTCCACGGTCAGATCAAAATACCCAGTTGTTATTGGAAAAAGTCCTTGCACTTGCACCTTCAACTTTCCCCACGTACTATTCTCCTTTTTATTTAAAAGAAAAGTTCCATTCTCCTCTCTCAATAAAAAAGTCATTTTGTTGCATAAAATTTTGATAAAAAAATATTTGGATAATGTTTTAAATAAATAAATAGTTCCAAATATTTAGGTTTCGAATTTGAGTAAACATTTTGTAAACTTTTCTTCACAAAAGTGTTAGTATAGTATTTTGCCAAACAAAACCCTTTTAGAAGATTTATTTATTTATTTAAAACCTAGAGCAAGTGGTGCTCAAATATATCTTCTACTAGGATCATGCCCGTGTATTGCAATGGGAGCAAAAAAAAAATTATGATGAGATAATTTGTTTTGTGTAAGTGCAATCAAGCCATAATTGTGGGTTTTGGTGATAATTACCATGCAATTAGAGAACTATGAGATTTATCGAGATGACAAACAGATAAACTGAAAAGGAGCATAATACATGAAATGGTGGAGCCCTCAACTACAAAAGGACGCGGCAAGTGACTCAAAGGCGTTTAAATTATTTTATATTTTCAAATTGAGTTTAGAAAAAGCCATACTATAAAGGGAACACAATGCACAAGCTTTAATGTGCAATCAAGTGCTCAAATCATCCACTAATAATCCTCAAACCCTCAGCCTTGATAGCAAGTTTTCACTCCTTGTCTTTGTAGCTGTCAGGCTTGAGCGGCACTACCGCTCGTGGAGCTGCCACTCATGGAGCGGCACATGGGGATATTTCTCATCTCCCTTCTCCTCCCAATGGTCATCTCGAGCATTCTCTTCTCTAGTGCGACCAAAGCAACTCTCTCTCCCTCACTCACCATTAGAGCACCTCAAGCTTCTCCCTTTGATTCCTCCTCCGATTCCGTGAGAGATTGAGCCTGCAAACTGCAATAGAGAGCACTCCAGCCTGTTCTTCAACTCCTAGAGCATTTGGTTCGCGTTTAAGCCGGTGGTTTGTGTTTGTTACTCTTGGAGCTCTTGCTCCTAGCCGGCTAGGCGTCGCCTGTCGAAGTACACCAACTTGTGTGGCAGCTTCGGAACGTTTGTAATCACCCTCTAATCTAGTAAGAACCTCTCATCTCAGGAGACTTTCTCTCTTGACTTGGAAAAGAGGATAGGGTTCTTGAAACCCAAGCCTTGGTGGCTTCATCAACAACGTGGAGGGGTAGGCATGCCTTCGTGGTGAGCTGAACCACGGGATAAATCCCCGTGTCTCTTGTATTCTTGCTTTTTATATTGTGCTATACTTGTTTGTGTGGTGAGGGGGTTTGGTTCCCAATCTACTCATTCGTGCACTTCCGACTACTACCAACGGGTGGAATAGGCTCTACTCTACCCTAGGAAGCTCAGTAAATTACTCGATCTATTTTCCTTTGGGTGGATTTTGAATTGTGATCTCGAGCTTGTCAGGCAGAGCGACAATGTCGTGTAGGCTTCTAACAAAAGTTCGAGTTTGGTTTAAACAGGCTTATTCACCCCCTCCTCTCTAGGCATAGCAGGGATCCTTACATATAGCTATCAACATTCAATTGCTAAGGATCAATTATAGATGTCACCATTTCTTGAATTACAAATGAGAGTGGCTTGAGACACGAAAATATACAGATGACATCCCAGTGTTTTCTTAGTAGGAGATGAAGGCTACTCTTCTGAACATGCCTCTCGCTCAGCCCACCGCCCTGCCCCCTCCCCTCCCCCCGATGAGGCCACACCACCCACCCGCAGCTCGAGCACCCAAGCCCAAATCCCTTCAACCCGCTCCTAGATCCGTGTTCACCAGTTGCTGGTCTGGTCTATCGTGTCATGGCAAAATCGACGTCGATCCATCCTAGACTGGGAGGCCGCAACGACTCCCTCATCCCCTTCAGTGGCGGCGGTTCCACAGCCTCCGCTGCCTGTTCTACTTGTCGGTGGTGGCTCCAAAGGCTGGTCCAAGTTCAGGCGTTGGCAAAGAGGTGACAACAACTACTTTCATTCATTTGTCGGCCGGGGAAGAGGTGACCTCACCATTGCGTGCAAAGAGGTTACAACAACTACTTTCGTTCATGCAACCAAACATACTATCTGCATCTTTTGCTTGCATATGTCTGTGCAGCGTTGCAACTAAACACCAGCTCTAATGGGCCTGGATGAGATGGAACAAGCAAGCAAGCAATAGTCTATTGCATCTCTTGAGCATGGCTGCCATGGGGATGCCTGGATACATGCAGGCTGGATGGAGCAGGCAACCAATCACGCCCAAGGTTTCTGATCCATCTACCCTGCTTTGGACAGCATGCAGGAAATAGTCATGATGTTCTAATTCCTCCGTGGGGAATTAGAAAAAAAACAGCTACAATGAGATGCTGTAGTTTAATAGCCGTCGTGGGGAAAAAAGAGAGAGAAGGCAGCCGTTCCAGCATCTTTACTACTCACTCCGTCCTGAAAGGCTATCAAACCAGTTTAAAGACATATTATGTGATAAAATAAATAACATATAACCCTCCTTAATTATCATATTTGGATCGGCGATTGACATTAATGGTAGATATAATGTGAATTTTGAGGATCTATATATATCTAAAATCAATTTAGAACAAGTTTAATGCTTGGGTATCTTATATATATTATACTAAAGAACGCTCCGCGCGTTGCTGTGGGAATCGCTGGTGAAATTATACTATTTATATTTACTAATATGATTGAATAAATATCATAATAGATGTTAGTAGATGGTTTTTAGCATTCTGATATGGACAACTAAACATATATTAGTAAATAATGTGGTTTGCTAATGTGAATAGCTTGAATGAAGACATAATGTCATGTGTTAGTTGGATGTGTTAGTGGATGCTGATGTGGACACTTTGCATGGTGAGATAGTTGAATGTGCTAGTGTGATGTTCTAGTGGATACTGATGTGGACACTTTGTATGGCAAGATAAATTGCTAGTGGGATTTATCTTTATAAGATATATATGTTATAGGACTGAGATAGTAATATACTAGTGCTATAAGACAACTCAGTTCTTCCTTCGGAAGGTGAATAATCGTAGAGGAAGCTTTGTTAATATTTTGCCAATAATTCACTCACAATTGCATGGTAGGTGCCTGTGTTAGCATGCACCCATCACAACTGGATGGAACTCGATTTAGTTTTTTTCTAAAAAACTGAAAATAGGTTTTATTTTTTGTTTTTATATTAAAACGAATCATACATGAAAACCGACAATTATTATATTAAAAAGAAAAAGTCCAAATTGGACAAGTTACAACAACCCAAAGGGTCAAAGCGTCGACAACAAGAAAAATAGGTTCTATTTAGTTGTTTGTGGAATTGCGTTTTTTTTGTTGCAAAATGCATTGGATATTTGGATGTCGCTGATAGTTGTGTAACAGAATTACTATTTGATAACTGGTTGATTTGGGTTTATTCGGCAACCGTATTCTGGGTCGTCCAATGTGGTAGTCGTGCTGCTTCTGCTGCCCGATCGCGCTGCATCTTCCGCCTGAAGCCGCTGCGAGCCGCCGCCCGAAGCTGCTGTGTGCCGCCGCTGTCGCCGCCCCCAGGCCCGCGGAGGTCCGCTGCGTTGCCGGAGTAGATGTAGAGGCTATCCATGACGACGGGCCCTAGCGTAGTGGCCGTCCGCCTCCACCACCGTCATGGAGTGGTGGCCCTCGGTCATGAAGTTGAGCGCCGACAACAACCGATCGACACGGAGGCGGTACGTCTTTCTCGGCACGGGAGCGCCGGCGGCACGCAGCCAGCAGGGCGGGGGACGTTGCAACCGGCGCGACTGCCCTTGCCTGTGGGAGGAGCACGCGAGCAGTGAATCTGTAATTTTTTCTGAAATTTGTGAACAATTTGATAACATTTGTGAATAATTTGACATATATTTCTCTGATGTCTAGAATCCAAAAAATTTAGTATATATTTGTGTTATTTCTAAATTACACCACTTTGTTCAATAAATTACACTATCATTGTAAATATAGTAATAAAACGGTATAAATATAGCTATAAAATAATATAAATGCATAGAAAAAACTGGTTGCTGAGAGGGCTAAAACAACCCGTCTCCATTCCAGCGCGCATAAAGTAGTGCTACAGGTCACACACATCCAACAAACCTACCAATCCACCCCTGATTCCACCAATCAAGGCGAGTAGAGCTAGCTACTCTTCCTATTTCGTTATTATATAGAAAGAAAAGAAAACAATTCTCCGTACACACATCACTGATCACCTCTGAATTTGGATCATGTCGCTGAATTAACAACCGCCAGAACGTCAATGAGAGCGCTGTTAGTAGGAAGAAGTAGTTCACCGATCCCCAAGCCGCGAATCTAACACACACCATGCACCCCTATATAAACCACACGAAAAGCTAGCCAGCAGAATCCACAGCCAAAGCAGCTCAAAGCACAAACAAACAAGAAACAGCACACACGTGCACAGGTGACAGGATCACAGTTTACAGGACACAAAAAAAGGAGTTCGAGTTCCCGCAATGGCCTCATCGAGAGCAAGCAGCAGCTTGGCGCTGGCCGTCGTCCCCCTGGCCGCGCTCCTTCTCCTGGCCGGCCCCGGCGCGGCGCAGTCCTCCTCGGCGCCGGCGCCGTCGTCGTCGTCGTCGTCGGGGTCGGGCAGCTGCTTGACGGAGATGGTGAGCCTGTACCCGTGCCTGGGCTACATATCTGGCAATAGCACGTCGCCCAGGGCGTCGTGCTG